ACTTCCTGTTGTATTCGGGTGTTATCTCCGTAACCAATTATTTGTAAAACTGTTATTTTGTACATTTCCGTTAATCTAACCATTTTTCAGAATTGAATTGAACGAACTTTATACTTAAATTAAAATACTGACAACTTAAATAAAACAATTTACTAATGCGTATTAAAATAACATTGCCACGGAAATTCTTTAAAGTTTTTTAATGGTTACCATCTAAAAACCACATTGCTATGGTTTTTGTTCACTTTCTCATTATCAAGACCTAAACGGGAAATAAGTTTTGAGCTGTAGTGATAATTAATTATATTAAATTTTGCGGAAGTATTGAAGAAAAAATTTTCATTGTTTTACTGTTAGTAGTAACTTTAGTAGGGCTTTCGATAAAAGTAACGATGTGTGAGAAAGAGGAACACCAAAAAATTATAACTGTCTAGAAGCACCACTGTCAATAAATCATCAGTATCAAACTTAGAACAGCTAAAGTGGTATATCTTTGTGGTATCCCACTAACTTAAGGCTGTCTGTTTTTTATAGTGACCTTAGCCAAGACATAACGGCCTTTCGCTCAAACAGGTGCAACATTCATTCCGATCACAAATTTATTGCGCAGAAGATATAATTTTGAATTATACACAGCATACAATGAACTCTAGATCGTAACATCCATAAAGATCGGACGTCTGCGCTGGATGGGCCATGTTGATCGGATGTTGGAGACTGAAACACCAAAACATATAATAAGGCAAACACCAGTAGGTAGAAGGTCAAAGGAAAGACCCAAACTTAGATACATGGAACAAGTGGAACAAGATCTGAAAACACTTAAGATTACGAACTGGAAAAACTAAGCAAGGAACAGAACAGAATGGAGGAAAATCCTAGAATAAGCCATGACCCAGAAAGGGTTGTCGAGCTACTGATGATGATACAAATGAAACCTGTCATTATGTCAAATTGCCAAAAGAGAAAAAGATGTGAAAAATACGGAAAGTCTATATTTGATCATTCTCGATGCTATTTTTTTTTTCGTTCAAAAGCACTGTTTAGTTCGCTAATTGTTATTTTCTGGAGATACTGAATTTTGTCCAGAATTTTGTGTGTTGCTTTTTATGTTTACCAGGCTGTGCATCTTCTATCTATTGTTTAGTCACTAGCTCTTTCATCGTCATCTATTTAATTTATATATTTACATGACAATTATGACATATGCATATGACATTATTATATACACCATTTTTATGCGGAGAAGCACTATTTTTGTGAATTATTTTCGGTTTGATAATTTTCCCACCTTTCAATCTTCACTTTTCTTATGTCTTCTTAAATCTGTTCTATCCGTCGTAATTTTGGTTGATTTTAATTTTTTGTCTAATTGTATTCATCCTGTCATTGCTTAAGTATTTTTTCTCAATATGTGGTCATACTATAAAATCCTCTAAGAGGATTCACTATGAAAATCGAAAAACAAAATAAATAAACAAAAAAGTTAGCTTAAAGTTTATATTACAAGGTGGGAAAGGTTTACGCCTAGTGTGTTTTTTTTGTTTATTTGATCTTGTGTACGAAAATATAGGTTTTGAATAATCTCTGCATATTATTTAATGATTTCTGATTTGTACTGCGGAGTCTATAAAAACTGCCCGATAGGCACATTAGGTTTGGTGTATTTGTTGAAAGTCTATTAAATCAAGGACAGTATGCGTATAGACTAGGATTCTCAACAGAAACGACGATTCCTCTTAGACGAAAAAATAGCTACATATGGAGAGACTGTATGCTGAGGAGCCGCGTGGTATACGCAACGTTACTGGGGAATATATTGTCAGCACAAATAGCCAGAGACTCCGTAGGAGGAGTCTTATCTCCTCTCTTGAGGAATCTGGTCATGGATGGGCTGATAGCTAGATACAGTAATTTGTCCAGCTTATGTCATGTGCTATGCAGATGACCTGATCATCTTAGCCCACGGCAAACTTAATGGCATAGTCAGAGATATAACATAAGCTTCGGTAAGTCCAAAATCATGAAATTTACCAGAAGGAGGAATTTAGACGGATCAGTGAATTTTGAGATCAGTGAATTTTGGTCAGTGAAGTTAAGTACCTTGAGCTAATATTAGACTCAAGGCTTGGAATCTGTATATAGAACAAATATCCAAGAGAGCGGTGACTACGTTAATGGTAAAAAGTGTTGTATTTAAAACCAGACATGTTATATTGAATATATAACATGATGATAAAACCAAAGATTGCACATGCATCAGTGGTATGGTGGCCAAAGCTGGAGCAAAAAAGTGTCATCTTCAAGCATAGCAAGGTGCAAAGACAAAAGTACTCTGAGGGTAACACCAACAGCAACTATGGAGGCCCTACTGGACCTTGCTCCTCTACACATCATTATAAGAAGGAGGACGAAACTGGGATCTAGACTGCAAGAAAACCTGAACAACATAATCGTGAGATCAGGTCATAGTAACATCATTAATGAAATTAGGAATACCGAACGGATGATGATTTCTGAATATGTGTTACCCAGATACAGACCTCGGGTACTTTTCCAAGTGAACATCTGCCCACGAGGGGGTGGGTCAGAGGAACACACAATCCATTCTTGAGGGTACACGGGTCTAAAGGTGTGATTAGACAGAACGTGGAGCGCTGTTGTTAATTGACCAAGAGAAATAGAAAAAGACAAAACATAAAAACAGGACCCAACGCAACGTGGAATAGCGTTTTTATCCTAAAAATTTGGTAGCAAATACTTGCCCCATCAAACTTTCTGACGTGACTAGGGACAGGCACGGTCATTGTCGTAGTAATTTGATTATGGAGTGATCTAGCTAAGTTGTGTTGGAATTTTTTATCATTTTATAAATTATCTTCTTCTTCTTCCTACTTTATAAATAGGCTTAATGCCTGTTTTACTTCGGTTTTTAGCCTCATAATGACGTTGTCTGGCCATCGTTTCCTCGGTCGTCTCAATGATCTTCCATTTGGCGATTTGTCTCTTGCTATTCATACTATTATATTTTCTGTAATTCTTTCGATGTTGATTCCATTCCACGATGTTGTTTTATCTTCGATATAACCAAGAAATGGTGCGAATCGCAATTTGCGTCTCTATAAGTTCTAACATCCGTTACGGAGGTTGCCCACCGCTTAGATATTAATATGTGATCAATTTTATTAAATTTATTAGTAACAGGTATCATCCAGGTTCCTTTATGAATATTTTTATGAGGAAAACACGTATTAACAACTTTTAGTTTATTTGTCATTGCCAACTGTGCCACTCTTATACCGTTGTTGCTGGCAATATCATGTAAACTATGCTTACCAAAGGATTCTGCATATATTGGCTCTTTTCCCAGCTTCGCGTTCATATCACCAAGGACTATAACTGTGTCTCTCTTCTGTGCGTTTTCACATTCTACTTTGCTCATAGAATTGATCGGTTACTAGTGCATCTGCTGCTTCTGTTGGGACATGGATATTAATAATTGTACTATTATGAAATTTTAGAGTTTAGACGTATTTTGCAAGTGAAACCCAATACCGACCTGCGGCATTTATGGTTTACCATAAAACACACTTCAAAGTCTTCTTGTCTTTCTGCTCCACAGTAGTACATCTGTATTCTTTTTTATTTATGCAGCCATGCCCTTTAAATCTGATTTCTTGGAGGTCTGCTATGTCTACTTCGTACTTCAATAGTACCTGTGCAATACTTTGCATTTTGTCTGCCTGCAGCATGGTTCCGACCCAGATTCCCAGTCGCAAATCCATCATTAAATCCTTATTCCGTGCCAGGCTGCTGGTTATAGCTTCTGAACAAGCTATGCTTTCTCCCTTCTTCGTCCGCCCTGACCCTACCTTCCATTAGGATTGGTTACCCAATCTCCAATAAGGTTGCTCAGGTTTACCGGGGTTCACCCATGGGATCAAGATCACACTTCTTGGAGGTGAGGATAGGCATTGAGTAGGAGAGGCTAGAGGTGTTATCTAGAAGCAACACCTTGTATTGCGCCTCACTACTCCTTTCAACCCCGAATGGAAGATATACAATAAGTTTTTTGGCTGCATTACAACCGGTTTATAGCAGACGACTCGAAAACAACTATACATTGTCGTGTGTATACATTGTTTTTTTTTAGTTTTCATATAACTACTAAAATTGTTGTTCGTACCGATAGTATGAACGAGAAGATAGTGTATGAAAACAAAAAACTGCAATATTTAAAATTATGATAGTCAAAGAAAGACGTCAACAATTTTATTAATTTTATGTACTTTTAATACTAATGATGTTCTTATATTTTTCGAATAATTAATATACAAGAAGTAAACTTCCGTTAACAATTGTAGATGGAGTTTTGATTTTTGATATTTTTTGAAACATTCAGCCAGTAATCCTGACCTAATTGAATTTAATACAACAGGGCCTAATAAGAAGAATATTTTAGGTACTTATATTAGGGTACTGGAGAAGAAAACTGTACCATTATTAAAAAAAAAGAGACAAGTTTAACTTATAGGAAGTGGAATCTGGAAGAAAAAAGCTTGCAAAATATACATAGGATAGCTGATCCCACAAACAAAATAAGGCAAAAAGAACGACATTTATTGTGCAATATGTTGATTAACTACAGAAACATTTAAAACTGTCAGGATATTGTGGAAGAGGTAAATAAAACATTGTTAAATTAATTTTGACAATCATTTTAGACATTCAGATAACATTTATGAAAGTGTTTTCCACTAAACTGTCAAAGGAGCCTTTTTTGGTTTTTTCCCACTTGCTACTACAGTACGTTGTTGTTCCTGTACACACCATGTATATAATAATTTCTACCGCGAAATTTTTGGTGTGCCGAAGACCACACAATTAGTGTCATAGTTTTTTAATATTTGTGAGGTTTTCGAATTTGTACGATTATGATTTTAAAAATCTACATAACTTAGAATTTGAGCCTCATGTAATGCATATATTTCTGTCTCCAGGTGAAGGCGGAGAATATGTAGGTTGGCAAGGTAGGCAAATTGCGCTCCTTCACCTCACACATTATCATTAGTCATTTTACACATTTTTGATTGCTTTGCTTTGAACTGTACATGCGTACTAGGGCTACACCGAACTATTTCACATCTATTCTGTAATACAGGTGTATATTACTTATAACGAAGTACAGCACAATGTGCGCACGCATTCGATCACAGTTCACTCGCCGCTAGTTTATTGTGGTCTCCTCTATTCGCAATATTCGACAAATCAATAAAGTTCTGACCTATTGTGGTATGAATTAACATGTTATAATTCATATACAAATGTATTACATATCTGAAAATGAATTGCTTGCACAACCAATCCGGTTTTTTAATTCTATCGGTAGAGTCCTAATATGTGTATAATATACCATGCTACACATTGGAAAGACGCGATAGATATTATAGGAATCGTGGTGCGAATAGGAACAACCAGTATCGCAACTAAGTAGATAATATATGTACAAACATTCAAGCAAAAAAATCAAAGCAGACTGCCAATTAGACCAAAATTTCCAAAATTATGAAATTATTCGCTTAAAACTATATCTTGGATGTTCGTACTGTATCAAGTAGATTTTGTTTTTGTAAACACTAGCTTTAATGGCACAACAATACACTCAGTCATCTTGCAATTCGTTATCATCTACGTCAAAAAAATTTTAAGCGAACTTTTGACAGATTCTATTGTTGTGTCTTTACTAGTTTGTCAAGGTGTTTGTTTGGGATAGTATTGGTTAAATTTAGTAACTTCCAGATCAAAAATAGCTAGTACTAGAGTAATTTCAGTTATCTCTAGTACCTGCTACAGTACTACATTACTGCGATACTAGCTTTCTGTGTTCACACCACACGTTCTGTATCTTTAGCATGAAACAGGTCTAATAAAAAATATTCAACACCTATAACAAGATGATCCTTGTATATAAGATAACTGCGTTCATCAAAATAATGGAATCACAGATTTGTAGCTTACTTCTAAAGTGATACAGGGACAAAACTTAATACTAGTGGTTAATTTTACGTCATTTGGTAAAATCAAAGCCAATCTAAAAATTTGATAGCTGAACCTTCTTCTTCTTAGCCGTCTATCGTCCATGTTTGGACATAGGCCTCTCCCAACTCCTTCCATCAGTCTCTATCCTGAGTAACATATTTCCAATTTGTTCCGGCCATTCTTTTAATGTCATCAACCCATCTCATCTGTGGTCTTCCTCTTGGTCGTTTACTTTCGTAAGGTCTCCAATGTTGTGTTGTAGTATTCCAACGTTGGTCTTTTTGTCTAGCAGTGTGGCCCGCGAAGCTCCATTTAAGTTTGGCAATTTTTCCATTGTTCTTTCTGTTGTGGCTAGTTTATTCATGTTTGCCTTGGTTAGGGTCCAGGTTTGGCATCCATATGTCATGATAGGAAGGATGAATTGGTTGCTCCTCAAGTATTGGGGTATTTTGCGGCCTTCTCTGTCAATGTTCTCATTGTCAGCAGATGGTCTGATGTACTATATCCTTTGCGGAAGCCAAGCCTGTTCAACCGGTTGGTAATTGTCCATTTTGTAGGTCAACCGGTTGTTAATAATTCTTATAAATAGTTTGTATACTTGACTAAGCAACGATATAGGTCTATAATTCTGTAGATCACATTTGTCCTATTTTCTGTGTAAGAGTATTACTAGACTCTCGTTCCAGTCTTTAGGGATCTTGCTATTATGGAGACATCTATTAAATAGCTCTGTTAGTACAGGGATTGTTAATGTCTTGCTTGTTTTCAAGAGCTCAGCAATTATACCGTCGAGTCCTGGACCGTTATTATATTTAAGCTCTTTTAAAGCTCTTTCTATTTCGAATCTTCTCGAATGTTCTCCTTTGCTGTTTTATTTGGCTGGCTTTGCAAGCTGTACAAGGATGTGTAAAAGTCTTCGACAATATTTGTTATTTTATATTTGTCCTGCTCTTCCTTATTGTTGGTGTCTTTAATTTTGATGATTTTCTGAACTCCCAGTGCGGGTCTTAGACATTTTAAGCCTTTGTTGTTTTCAATGACTCGCTCTATTAAGTTCTCGTTTCATTTTTGTATGTCACGTTTTAGTTCTTTTCTAATTGTTTTATTAAGTTCTCTGTATTCTTGGGTATATCGTTTGTTTCGCGCTAGTAGTTATCTTCTTTCTGTCGTTAGTTTAGTTTTATTGTTTTCTTTAGTCCTTGTTTTCTTTGCGACCTGTAGTCCGGCTACGAGAAGGTTTTTATTTATGTCTTTATTAATCTCATCAATTTGATCTTGATTATGTGAAGGATCAAAATCGAACTTATCCGCTAAGACCTCTCGGAATTGCTCTTCATTTGTTCTTAGTTTAAAGGCATCAATCCTCGTTGTTTTTTTTTAAATCCTTTTTCTCTCTTCTTTCATGTTAATATTTATTTTTGCTCTGACTATACAATGGTCACTACCCGTTGTTACGTTGTTTATTGTTGTGACGTCTTCAAATATTCCTTTGTTGTTTAAAAGAAAATAGTCTATTTCATTTTTGGTAGTTCCGTTAGGTACCCATGTCCACTTTCTGTTAGGTTTCTTTTTATAGAAGGTATTCATAACATACATGTTTTCTTGTTCCAGAAATTCCATGAGCTTTTCTCCTCTTGTGTTTCTTGTGCCGAATCCAAAATTTCCAATCTTGCTTTCAGAGTCTTCAATCTTACTTCCAATTTTGGCGTTAAAGTCTCCCATTATTATTATTTTGGATTCTTTGAAGTTGCCTATAGCTTTTTTTAAGGTCTTCTTAAAAAAGAATTTATTTCCTCATCGGTTGCCTTTTCAGTTGGAACATAAACTTGCACGATCTTTATTTTAGTTTTTGGACTTAGTTTTAAGACCATGTATGTAACCCTGCCTGAGATGCTGTCAATTATTTGAATTTGAGATTTTCTCTTCTTGTTGATTAAGAAACCTACTCCACCGTATGTGTAGTCTTCCCTGCCTTTATAATAGAGTTTGTTGCCTGAATGTAAGTCCACATATTCTTCACCTCTCCTTTTAACTTCTGACGGTCCCTTTATGTCCCAATGCAAGTTCCCCAAATCCTCTTCTAGTTCGTCGAGTTTTTCATCTTTTGCCATGGAGCGGATGTTTCATGTTGCTATATGGAGTTGTTTGTTCTTCTTTTTCAATGTCGACTTGCCCCCCCCCCCCCAGAATCCTTGGGGCAGACTGTTGTTACGGTGTGGGACTGTGGAACAGAATTCCTACCCACCTGGGGTACCTTCCGTGTTTCTGTTGCAATCGACATGTTTGGTTCTGGAGGTTTTGGCCATATCTCACCACGCTGGCCAGACGGGTTGACAAAATTTCTCCTGACAATTGTCCATTTCTGGATTCTATTAGACTCTGAAATACTAACAATTAAAATTCTTGCATTGATCATGTTTATGGGACATTACGAAGTTATCTTATGAGGTTGTTCAACCAATACATGATACTAAAGTTTAGGCTCAGAAGTCATGCAATACTTTCGTTTCAGTATACACCTATTTTTCTGATTACTATGTTGCCTTCCATTTCGTCGGTGTTTCTGGTCTGAATTGTACATTTTAGATTCAAAAAATCAAATCGATCAAGATAAATACAGATTTTTGCATTTAAAACGTTTGCCGATTTGAACATATCTTCACAAAAAAGACCAATATAAAAAATATATACATTCCAACTCTGATAATTTTTCTTAGGTTCATTCTCCCATGTTTCCTGTTAGGAAGTCTGTTGTTTTCTCTTTATCTATCAGGTGTCAGGTGTATCCAATTAATTTCTTGTCAATATCAGAGTTCAAATACATTTATTTTGATATTTGTCATTTATGGTTTATGCCATAAGATTCCATATCATAGGACTATCGTAAAGTCAACCAATTGCAATTACAATAGTACTTTTGTTATAGTAAGGTGTTATTTCGATTTGATTTGCCATATCTGTTTAGCTTAAAAAATTTCTTGTTTGTGCTTGTTTTATAGTTTTTAGCATGAGCAGCATGTTTGTAGTAACACTTTGTTCTTTTTTGTCATTTAGGACAGTACCATAAATGGATATTTATCATTTTGAGTCTATGGTAACTCTTGGTATCATTTTTGAGCTGCCATTTGTTCGCTTTTGCTAGTTACCTAGGAAATCTTTGAAAATATAAACTTTTTTGAAGTTAATTCGGAAAGGGGAGCAAAAATTGATGATCGTTGCGTTGCACATGTACAATGTAAATGTCCCATACATAATTCTATGTGTATCGCATTGTGAACGTTTTAATTTATATGTGGTAAACATTCTGGAAACGGATGGTTTTTGTAAAAAAGTAACAGAAAATAACAAAGAAAATTAAATAAAGTAGTATAATTATAGCCATTGTTCAAAATTTTAAATTATATGGCTTCATTCATTCATTCAACATTTCTTTTAACTTTTCGAGAAGAGTGCTTTATGCAACTTCGATTTCCTGTTACGACTCTACATCTAAGTTATCTAGGAATTCTGTTGTATTTCTACTTAATTTATTGACTTAAAGATTATTTTGTCTTTTTCTTCTCTTATTTTTCTTTAGTTTTTCATTTTTTCACCCCGTTCTCCATTAAAAACGTTACTTCCTGTAGTCTCTTTCTACCTTGGCCTTTTATTTGTCTTATCCGTCTTTGTTTTGTCTGTTTGCTAACTTTTTCGGAGGTGAAAAGTACGAACTTTTAAGAAACATCATGCAGGGCAAAATTAAGGCAAAAGAAGTGTGGGAAGAAGAAAAATATCGTGGCTTCGTAATCTACGTGAATGGTTCGGGTGTAGTTCGATTGAACTTTTCAGGCGCGCTGCTAACAAAGTCGCAGTGGCCATGATGATTTCCAATCTCCGCTAGGAGTTGCACGAGAAGAAGAAGTAACTTTTTCGCTTGTTATTGTTATGTGGCAGAATACATATACCTAGGACAGATAATAAAGCTGAACAGGGACAATCAAATAGAAGAAATAAAAAGAAGAACTAGACTAGCATGGGCCTCATTTGGTAAACTATCATATATTCTAAAAAATAAAAAGTTCCCTCAATGTATGCGGACGAAAGTATTCAACCAGTGCATTTTACCAGTTATCACATATGGCTCACAAACATGGACTTTCACAAAGGAGAACATCGACAGGATATCCAAAACACAAAGAGCAATGGAAAGACCGATGCTGGGTATCGGTCTTAAAGACAGGAAAAGAAACTCATGGATCAGAGAAAAAAACAAAGGTGAACGATGTATCAAGACAGGTTGCAAAACTTAAATGGAACTTCGCCGGTCACACTCTCCGGCAAAAAGATGAAAGATGGAATAAGCGAATTCTACACTGGAGACCATGGGAAAAGAAAAGAAAAAGAGGAAGACCACAGGATGAGATAGATTGACGATCTTAAGAGAACGGCAGGAAAGGACTGGATACAAATCGCCCAAAATAGAGACCAATGGAGATTAACAGAGGAGGCCTATGCCCAAGAGTGGGCGTTTAAGGCTGATTAGATAGATAGATATTGTTATGTATGTCCTTTTCTTATTTGTCTGTTTCTCATATTCTTTACTCTGCTTTCTTAAGTTTAAACATCGAACATTTGTTTAATTCTTTGTATTAAAATTTTCTGTAAAGATAAAAATTTGGCAACACAAAATCATCCGATTCCACTACACATAAATTTGGTAAATTGTCATTCTTACACACCACTGGCATGTCTGTTTGTTAGTATTAAATAATATTGGGCATTAAAGTAATATATTCTTCTGACCTAGGACCGCCTGCAGCAATGAACAGAATGAACCCACCGAGGGGGCCTTCTATGGGCCCTTTGGGGCCAGGGAACTATGGCCCGGGATTGCGTGGACCACCGCCCAATAGTAGCCTAGGTCCAGGAGGGCCCATGCCGCCGATGACCATGACAGGCCCAGGAGGGCGACCCCAGTGGCAGCCCAATGCATCAACTGTAAGTCAATTTACTTTATCCTATAGTTTAAAATATTTTATGAGGATTCTTGCAACTATGACGAACTGTCGTCTCAAGGATGGTACAAAGTTGTATTTAGTACAGGGTTTTTCATTCATAATGAGACTTAAAATCTGTAAAAGTAATGAAATGGCTGCAGCATACAAGAAAAGAAAACAAAATATATCACCAGGCATATCATACTGTTGTCTTCGTAAAATTTGAACGACACAATCATTCTGGATATATTTAAAAGTGTTTTGGATGGTATACTGCAGGGAAATAAGCAAAAACGAGATCCTGTCCAGGACTGTAACTAATCCAGGTATCCGACTGTTTTTTTTTAGTTATTGTAAGCTTATATAAAGAAAACCTATATGTTGTCTATAAAAAGAATTTAGTGTAAAAAATGCCAGTTTTTTGCTTACCATTGAAAAGCTTAATACACTGCGTGTCACGAAAAAGACTCCACCTAGAATTTTGTAAGAATTTTTCAATAATTTTAAGTTTATACAATTTATTTTATTGTAACTAAATTCCCACAATGCAATGAATTGATATCAGTTTTACGACTTCGGATAATGCACGTGTTGTTTGTACCTTATTTTTCTTGGAATAATGCTATTATGTTTTTCAAAAACCTTTCACTAGTATACAGTTGTTCGAAGAGTAAACTAGTGCAATTTTTAAATTAAAAACTATGGCTGAGAAATTTGCTAGATCTGTTCAAATTGTTACTTTGATTGGTAATGGAATGAGTCAACGAGAAGTGGCCAGACAGCTTGGAGTCAGTCGTTTTATGGTCCAACAAATTTACCAACGATTCGTAGAGACTGGATCTCACGAACGCCGACCAGGATCAGTCCCGAGAAGAATCACGATGGTCAGGGAAGACCATTCTTTACAACGCACTTCTTTGCAAAATCGGTTCTTTACAGCTAGATCAATCCAAAACCGTTTTCAAAATGCTCACGGGTGGACTTTAAAAGCACTTCTACCGTGAGAAGAAGGTTGAGAGAATTTGGTCTAAGGACTCGCTGTCCAGCAACAGGGCCTTTGTTAACAGCAGCACATCGACAACGCCGACTACAGTTTGCTAGAGACCACGAACATTGGACGATAGAAGATTCTGTGCTGATCTCTTGTACTGTATTTATTGATAGAGGAGCGTTGAATGCACACGGATGTATTACCGAAATTCTAGACGAGCATGTAATGCCTTTTGCTGGGTTTGTCGGCGAAAACTTTATTTTTATGCAAGACAACGCGCGGCCACATGCCGCCAGGATGTACCGTTCAAAAATGAACTGGCCGGCTCAAAGTCCAGATTTGAACCCGATTGAACATGTTTGGGACCAACTTAAATAAAGGGTAAGAAACAGAATACCTGCTCCAATAAATCGTGAGCAGCTTCAGTTGGCGCTCATGGAAGAATGGGAAATAAAATCATTATTTTGGAAGAAGTTATTTTCTGGTATTGATTGTTGCATACTGCTTTAGAACATATTCTTAAACATTACACAAACGTCTAATGACAATCACTTTGTGGTATGATTCGTAAAAATTAAAAAATGGCAAAAATTTTTGCTGGCCTCTTTTTCGTGACGCGCAGTATATTTAAGGTAACAGTTACACTTAAAACAAAAAAGCTGTAAAGTGGCGATTCCTAAAAGTTGGAAAATTAATTTGTTGCTTCAAAAACTGCAAAATAAGGCAAAAACGTTATTTGTTTATAACTATTATAAAATTTAACCTAGGCATTTGTTATTCTGGCCAAAGTTGGGTATTGTGGTCCTTATCAAACCATTCAGATTAAAAGTTATTTTATTTGTTTATCCCAGATATTTTTTTGTATATGTGATAGTTAAACTATCAAAATACATAAAAAAATTGAAAAAAAAAATATTTACAACGAAAAACCCTTTTGTAAAATTACGGTTCTGTTATTTCACAATCCTATTCTTTCAAATGCCGAAAAATGCGTTCCTTATTTTTGTAAACAAATAAGCTGTGAATTAAAAAAAAACTATCTTTGGCCCAAATTATTATTATTATTCGTGTAAAAATGTCGTGATTTTTTCTACTCTCTTACTAGTAAATTGTATATTACCTACTATTTGAATGCTAATTAAATGCATCATAACAGATACTGACACGTAATGACTAGCACGTCATAAAAAAAATTACGCTTCAGTTTTATAAAAATGTGTAATATCACATAAGCCTCGTAAGTCAGTTGGTCGAGTTACCATGGAAACGAATTAACAGACGTTATTTTGACAGATTAAAAATTATTAATCTGTCAGTGTAAATAAAGTGGTAATTTAATTTTTATTTTTATAAACGAAAATAATCGTAGAAAAAGTATAGTACACAACTTGAGTTGTAAGCTTATTACATGCTTGTAAAATTACTGCGCTCGCCGCTACGCGGCTCGCGCGCAACTTTTTTACTCGCATGTAATAAGCTTCTTACAACTCTCGTTATGTAATATACTATTATCTTCGAGCAATAGTTTAGTAAAAGATATTCTAAATGTTTATAAATTACAAATAACCGTAATTTTACAAAGGATTTGTGTCGTAAAGAATTTTTTTTTCACGTTTTTTGTGTATGTTGATGGTTTTAGTTGAATCTTTCATTTAGTGTGTGTAGAATTAATGTGTCTTCATTATTTTCTGACTAATGTGACTTCAAAAAAGGCCTATGGAATAAACAAATAGACTAACTAATTAATGGATCGATCCGAAATGTTGGGGGTTTATGAAGACCACAATATCCAACTTTGGGCGAAATAACAAATGCCTACGTTGATTTTTTACAATAAATTTAAAAACATATTTCAAAAATCATAAACAAATAACGTTTTTGCCTTATTTTGCATTTTTTTAAGCTACAAATTAATTTTATAACTTTTAAAAATTGTCATTTTTCAGCTTTTTATGTTTTATAAGATAAAGATAAAAGGTTTGTAGTTTTAGCTTAAGTATTAAGCTTTTCAATGTTAAGCAAAAAAAAAAACGAAAAAATGACGTTTTTTTCCACTAAATTGTTAATAATTAAAAAAGACGCCGAAATTTATGGGAAAATCATATAGGTTTTCTTTATATAGGCCTATTATAACTAAAAAAATGATCAGATATCTGAATTAGTCCCGGGAGAAATCTTATTTCCCCGATCTAGTATAGGTACCTACACTATCAACGAGGATGAAGTACTCTATAGATATAAAAATCTTGACATCTGTTAATATTTACGACAAAAAGAATTTCAATAATGTGCATACCGTTTACTAAGATTTATTCTGCAAAAACGTCTCATTTTTATGGAAAGCCCTTACACTGCGGTAAGATTCTTTTATACTACTTGAATACATTCAAAGAACGATTGTGAGATGGAGATATTGTTTTTTTAATATCCTAAACTGATGTAAATTTGAGTATGCTATACAAACTTCTCGTATTACGTGGTCACGTTTAGGTAGTTATCATTAAAAAGTCAATGTTGAGTGCTAAAAGGTTCTGTATTTTAGTGCAGTAAAAGCCTAATGAAGAATGTCATTTATTTTTGTTTACTGTTTAGTATAAATGAATCGCTATATGCAGAAACAACACGTCATGTCCAAAAAACGAATTTTTCAGGAGATGCAAAAAACAGTATATTGTAAACAAAAGTACATTTTCGGTAATAAGTAAAGGTATTTTAACACCGCACAATAATGGTTTTAGTTTACAAATAAAAGTTGTAGTTTCTGTGATACATGTTCTAAGTGGGCATAATATGAGCTTTCTGCATAGCATTGATAAAATTAATAGATAAATTTAACTCATTCGCTAAATTTTAAGAATCGCCAAAGAAGTATTAAATTATAAAATTCTTTGTATTTTTCTTCAACAAATACGGAACATTTTTGATGTCTTCCATTTTTTTCAATTTGATGGACACTTTTCCCAATGGATAGGCAGGTTTCGATGGAAAACCAATCCAATTTTTTCAGGCTGTTGTAGCGGAAATGTATGTTTGAAGGCGCCATCTTAAACTCGGAAGCAGTAACAATCGCCCTTCTTCCACTCTCGTAAATAAACTGTGAAAATTTGCTGATATTGAAGTGTACTTTTGCATTGCGTGATGTACCTCTGAAAGCAGTTTCTTCTGATATGCAGTTTTTCTTATATAAAGTATATCAATCTTTAAAATTAATCAGATCTTCTGTTTTTCCTTCTTTTACAGAAATTTTTTTTCTTATGTTACTGCTAGTTATAATCATGTCGGTTATTTGATGGACCGTAAAAATTATATCGAATTTTCTCATGTTTCTCTTTACAGTTGCAAAATCCATATCACAGGGGAGAAAAAATATCCTCTAACTGGAAAATAGTGTATAATTTTCGAAAATCTAGCACTGTCCGTTAGAGAAAGGAGCATGCGAATGAGTGTCTGATTTTTATTTTGTCCCCAGCAGTTGTCACTATATAAATGAAGTTCGTTTATTTTGTCTGAAATTTCGTTTAGGTAATCCAAAAGAAACGAACAAATTTCATTACCGGTTTTTTTACCCTCTCCTTCATGGTAAAAAGACATTCTAGCAGTATTGTCTTTGATATTGTGGATACAGAATACAGAGACTGTTAATTGTTGATAATAAAAGACCACCCCTACAGGCATTTTTGGCAACTGAATATTCTGCATAAAGTCGAAAGCTAATGCTAATATGTTACCATTGTTGGGACCATCACTTTCATTTTTCAATTTGGTGTAAAAATTTTTACTCCGACGCTAATGGGCCATAAGTTCCGCCACTGCTGCTCGTTTGGCGGTTTCATTTAAATTGGGGTCTTTTATCTTATTAGTCAATGTCTCAGAAGTTGAACAGACATCAATTTGTGGTCGATCAAATCTAAGAGAAAAGTTTTTTCCAAAAAATCTCCTGTAATAAAGATAATTTATTTTTAACCCAGGATGTTTCTTCTTAAACAAGTCAAACATTATTTTAAGATTTA